TTCACCTCTCTGCGACAAGTATTAAGTTTGCTACAGCGTCCTCATATGTAGAGCTGCTTGCTTACCCCAAAGAACATGGTTGCAAGTATTTATAAAAGTGTTGCTTCGCGCCACCGGTAAAATGGAATGCAATAGTCTCTTTCACGTTAAGCTAATATTTGTATTTCATTTTCTCTTTCTCCTGTAGCTTGACATGGTCCTGATCAGGCAGAGTGGATATCATTTGGTCACGACATATTTGCCGACTTCAATAATGATCGTCATAGCATATATTACCTTCTACTTTAAGGTCCACGATTTCAATGTAAGTTCACTTTTTTTTCTAAAGATGATAACCATATCAGTACATGAGTAAAATATTGTTCATTAAAAAAATGAGATCAACAAAAAGAACAAAGTGTTCCTCTACACATAACCGTATATTAAAAGTACAAAAACAAAAGTAACGCGTGTGCTCCTCAAAATCCGTCAGTTTTAAAACATTACCATCACTTGCTTTTCTTTCGCAATATTTAAAACCTCATGACAGAATGCCTCATCTGCATGACCGTTGTATTTTTTTTTTTTCTTTTAACAGGACCGCGTGATGGTTTCCCTTACATCCCTCTTGGTACTGTCCTCTCTCCTCACACAAACTTCAGAAACTCTTCCCAAGACATCGTACTTCAAAATGGTTGATATTTGGCTCTTCTTTTGCATAGTCATAATCTTCATGGTTATTCTCATCCATACCGCATCCATCTGTGTACAAGATGACCACGAGATATGCACTATGGATGATCAGAGTGACAGAAATGATGGCTCTATTGATCGATTTGGTGGACAGGTTAGAGTTGGAAATGGTTTGAAAAAGCTACATGCTATGTGCAAGCAGAGAGTGAGGGTCACTCCAACTTTCATTCTGACTTTTGGGAAAATTAGCATTCCCTTTGTTGTAGGAGTCTTTAATATCATTTACTGGTCTCTTGCCCTCGCCAAGTAAGTGTGTAAGCAGGCAAAGGAATTATTTCCTTTTCATCCAAAAGAAAGTTAACAACTGATTATTGTCTCTATGTATTCCATTATTTTTTCAGCAATTATAATTCCAAGTATTATAGAACCTTAATACTGCTGTGGCATATCTGTGGAACAGCACAGTCAAGAGTTTCAATTAACTTCCACCATTAAGGTACTCAAATCGGAAAGCATCAGTAAATCAATTAAAGATATCCCATCCTTTCATTTCTGTCAATGTAATGCTGATACTGACTTTACATTACAAGTACACAGGGCCATGAACATTTTTTCATCCAGTGAAAGATTTCAAAGCTTTTGTTTAGTTAATTATCATAGTACTCATTAGATTAGTATGTCTACCTATTAATAATAATTCCATGAAATATGTCACATGAGGTGGAGCCAGAAGTGACAAGTTCATTACCATCGGCATTGTGAAAAGACCCCATATCATATATGGAGTATAAGTGTGCAAACTCAATGGTAGTAATAGCCACTCTGGCATAGTAAATTTGCCCAAACTTTCTTCTCTTTTATTTTCCTTTTTTTTTTATTTCATAGCTAGTAATAAATGTTGCAGACTTGTAGTGTAATACAAAGTACCACATGATTTAGTGGTTTACATGTTATGGATTAAATAAACAGCAATGAAACTTACCTAACATTTATTTTCTTGAAAATAAAAAGAAGAAAAAATAATGGTTACAACAATACATATTTTGAAAGCTGCATTCACATATTAATGTGTTTTGTTTACATGGTCGTTTCACAGAGCAGTGATGATACTTATGTGAAAATAAGTACAGCAAAGTGAAATGAGAAAAAAAAGAAAAGGTGCATATATTCAAGAGATTCAATATAACCGCACACTCTAAGTGCACAATCGGAATGAATAAAATTAGAAAAGGTTAACAAAAAAAATAATCTTTTAAAAACAGAAGAAGATACGCAACTCTGCATCTGGCATTTGCTAAAGCTAATTAGAATCTACGTTCGCTGCGCGTAATAGATGAGTCGGAAGCTTACGAGCGTATGGCTTCACTCTGCTGCCTTATTTTCAGATCTAAACTACATATAAGTGGAAAATAACCTTTGATTCTACACAATGCTTGAGATTCCTTATCAGTGCTGAGTGGTAAGATGCACTTGAGGGATTTTTTCTTTTTCTTTGAAGTTGCTGCGAATTAAGTCAGTTGTTCAGTCTGTCTACAACAATTTATAGTTATAGACATATGCTTAATGAACTAGCTGCTATAGCTGCTGTGTGTGATGACACTGGCCCAACTCTGATAAGGAGTTCAAGTCTAATTTCTGTATTTCGTGGATCGTGAAACGGTACTCGTCTTGCCTCCATCTTTCACTCTGGGTTGGGGGGATATGTTATCTTCACGGTGATGCATCGGAGATGAGCATTAATTAGAATAGAAGAAGAAAGTAGAAGGAACAAAAAAGAGAGAAAAAAGGCATTCTGTACATTTTTTTCTTGGGGGGGAGGGGGTGTCTCTCTTAGATTTATTCTGTAATAACTACATACTCAAGGAGGAGACATTACAGGTTGAAGGAGTATCACAACTACGACTCATACACTGTACACCGAGTCCACCACAGAACAAGTGAGAGAGGGAAAGCAGCACCACACACGACCCACGTAACACTATGTTTGGCTCGAAAGATCGCAATGACGACCAACTTCCACCAGCATTGTCAAAGAAATGCAATTAAATTGGAAAGCTCCAAGGGATTCAGAGGAAGATACCAATTTGAGCCTCTGGGTCCCAGTATTAGTCAGCCGGAATTCAACATAGCACAACAGGAAGCCTAATATAGGCTCAATGTAAAATACGTCCCCACGTGGAATTCCGGTGGAAAAATGGGCACATCGCAATCCTCAAGCACTAACACTATGTTTTCATTGCATAATATACATCTTGACCATTAGGAATAAAGCTGTTCAACCAACCAACTTCTCTGAACATATTAGTATAAGAACAAAATATTAAAATATAGAATGGAATAATAAAAAAAAAGAAGAAAAATATACATAACAATAATAGTAAGCTAATGCAATCCAAGGGTGGGGGGGATGGGGAATGAGAAGAGGTACAAATGAAGTGATAACTCAAGCCAACCTCTTGATAGGATCATCCCTCTCTCTGCCAACATTTCTGTTAATTACGAAGCAGGGACTCTGTCGGCCGTGTGGAATGGTGGCAGGCACTTGATGAACAACGGCGACGGCCCTTCTCCTCCTCCCTCAGCCCTCCCGTCCCATTTCCCTCCCCCCTTCATCGAAAAACTGAACAAAGGCACCCACCTCTCGCCCGCCTCCCCGAGGGCTGGCGCTTTCTCGGACAAAGCCCTGAGAGTGACGATTTACTTTTTGTTTCATCTTTTCTTTAGACAAGCGTATGCCTAGCGATCACAACGCGATGGTTTATTCACAAAATATTAGAGGGACTTATTCTATAATAATTTCTCTTTTTATTTTTTTTAGTTTTTTGTTTTGTTTTATTTAAAGGGGGAGATGTTTACATTTTAAGCAATGAGTTGATGTCAAGTAATAATTAATCCACTCCCAAATTACAGTTAATTTAATAACTTATCATTATAATTATCATTAATATTTTCTTCTCTACCTCTGCATTTCTTCCTTGAAGAAACATATAAAATGACAAAATAATTTCATAAAAAATATGAGGGCAAAAAAAATAAAAAATAAATAAATACATTTGATAAAAGAGAGGTCTCTCACTAAGCTTTATTCTGATGTCTGGACAGCTTTGTTCTTGACACTGTTCATCGTCATCAGAGATATAAAGAAAAATCATAAGAATTACTTAAAATCCGACTTCAAAGTGGCATGCTCCCACCATCATCAATACACTGTACTGGTCCTTTTAATAGATATGTTGTACTTTGGTGTGGGAAGCCTCTCCTAACTCTTGATTACTTTTGCTGGAGCTGGAATTTTCACCGACATTAACAGTTCCTCTCAAGCTTGACTTTCCCTACCAATGAAGCTGCTCTTGACATGATAATCACTTTGCTCTTAGAGAGACCAACCTAAACTATATAGAACTTTTGGTGAAAAATAAAAATCTTGCATTACATTCCTAAACTGAATTACATACAATATATATATAAATATATATATATATATATATATATATATATATATATATATATATATATATATATATAATATATATATATATATATATATATATATATATATATTTACTTATATTTCCTTAAATTCCTTTTCATGTCTTGAGAAATAGAATAATCCACTGTGTGACATTTTCTATGCACACAAGCATTTTACATACAAATAAGAGAAAAAAAGAAAAAAAGAAAAGAAAAAGAAAAAAGACATTATGTAAATATATATATATATATATATATATATATATATATATATATATATATATATATATATATATATATATATATATATATATATAATGAATTTTCCAGTACATATCATTTAGCTCTAACCCAAAAATAAAAGGTAATAATAACAGGCGAGGCACTTCCGAAAGACTACCACCCCTATTCTGAGTGTCATTCACCATAGACCTCTTGTAGAGACAAACCACACAAAATCAGCTTTGCATCACAACTGTATGCAAGCCAGCCAAGAGAAAATGAAAAGCAGATTTGAAGCTTTTGGTTTTAGTTAAATTTTCTTTCATTATTGTTATTATTTTTTTGTCTCTACACATCTGATGAACTGCAAGGGAAGGTGCATTTTCTTTTTACTTCAACCAGAATATCAAGGTTTGCTATACTCTACTCTGCAAACACCTTTTTTCTCGCTGTATCCAGGGGGCTGCTGCTATTGCGGTTTGCTTGCTTGCTTGCTTACAATCCATGAATCATAATCTCTAGACCAAAGAAAACTGGGGGGAGCAAGGGAGATATAAAAATCTAAGTTTAAAAGATCATCTGAAGACAGCATTTTTTAAATCTTTTCTCTTATTAAAAGTTAAAAAATGCAAGTGTTCTATTTTTTTTTTGTTTTTTTTTTTATCTTTCTTGCTTTTATACCAGGTAAAAATACCTGACAAAATTACTGGGTTAGAAGCATTGGGATATGCCACAATGTATCGATCTACTACTCACTTCCCTGCTAAACACAGCTTACACATTGGTAAGTTTGCAAGCACATTTTTGTCAAAACTAAATGTTAATGTCAGAAAAACTATAGACTCTAAGAAAGGGGGCTGCCTATCGCTTATATTTTTCATCATTTTTTATAGGCCCGTGTTGCTGCCGAAGAAGCAAAACGACCCGGATTGCCGAGCAGTGGCCTAGCATGCGGGACTCAAATCTTAATGGGGGAAAATGTTTCAAAAGCCGATGTGGTGGTTATCTCGGTAAAGCTGCCATGTAAAAGGAGTCAACACTGGGTCTCTGATGTCTCAATGGGAGAATCTGAAAGAATATTTATAAAATAAGTATTTGAACAGTAAGTCAGTAAATTTTTTCGTGAATTAACTATAAAAAAAAAAAAATAATAATAATAATAATAATAAAAAAAAAATGATGTAAGTAATATCAGAAGGAAGGTTATATGATCATTTAACAAAAAAGAGGAAGGAGGAAAAAGGATGAGCAGAAAGAGGAGATGGAAGGCAGAAGAAGAGGAGAAAGGAAGAGGAAATGATCAAAAGCAACAAGTAGAAAAACCAAGAACATCAAAATATTTACGCATACTCACTCAACTCTTACTCCGTAGACTGTTGCTGGATCTCGATTTTCTCAACCGTCATGTCTGGGTTCATCCTGGTGGCCTCCTGGATGGCCTCAGCCAGAGCGCGGTCGTGGTCAATTGGGTCACCGTCGCTCTGGATTGTGATCTTCTGCTCCACTCTGGTCTCCACTACCCCGTCCTTCTCAGTTTTGTACTGCGGAAAGTGTGGCTGAAGATTAGCTATTCTTTTTCTCTTTATTTGGGAGGCTTCTGTTTTTGTTTTTGATAGAGCCTGTACTGAGTTAATTTTGTGTATAATTGATATTGATCTTTTTTTTTAAACAAATGTTAAAAGTGATTGCTTCAAGAATCCTATTACAATGATTACCTATATAAACATACATGTTGCGTCTCCATTCTTTTAAGAGACCATCACATAACACTACAAACATGTACACTTGCATATCAGCTTTTATTTCAAAAATAATATAATGAAATAATAAATCCATTTCCCAGTGCAAGAACTTTAGTCACAACAATCAACAGATCCCAGTGAATCATATCATATAGAGATGGTGGAAAAAGGGTGCAAGAGCAAGTGGTGCCTACAAAATAAATTCAGCATCTTCAAAACAATTTTACACAATCAGTGGTCTTTACCCAAAACCAACATGGGGGATGTTTGGAATTCAATCAATAAATAAAATCCAGTGCACAAGAGATTCGAAAACCTGAAACCTTTGGGGAAAGAATGAAAGAAAAGTGTCAATTTCTTGAGAAATCAGAAAAGGGTGCACTGTACATGAAAAAGCTAAAATCATAAGATATCATATCGAATCATTCCACACTAAATATGCATATAAGGCAAAAACTTAACCATCTACCACCACCAGGGTCCTTCCCCGTAAAGGAGTGATGAATTCTGAAACACCACATGTTCCACTTATCCACAAATTTAGTAAATAATAGAAATCAAAATTATTTCATCTACATTCAAAATGTCCTGTGATTTTTCAGATTTCATCTCTATACAAAATCAGTCACCAGCCCAAAATACAAGAAGCAAAATGAGAAGGGAAATAACTTCACTTGCAGGGAAGCTACAAATGTAAAGGAAACTACCAACTATGCACACCATGTACATTGATTGGGAAGCAATTCGGTAACTATTTTCATACTGAGTCATGGAGGGGACATTCCTTGGCACACTCATCGGAAGGGTTTTCAAACACTGGTCTTCTGTACTTTTCTTTGTACACTCAGTGTTTGAGAATTCACTCCAGCCTTTGCAACTGGTACATAAGGAACTACATGCAGAATTTAACTTTGGTTCAAAATGTAAATTTCTTGACTCTTCTCTTTTTGAGCTTAAGATGTTTGTCTCAGTTTTTGTTGAAGACATATCAGAGACAAGTTTCACTTGGGTAGAATGAGGTCGATCTTGAATATTGGGAGATAAAGCATTATCAAAAGAGGATGCACAGTAAGAATGTACTTCACTGCTAATCCCTGGAGTCACCTGCCTATGGGACATAGTTTCAATTTGGGGCAAAATGTGCGGGAAATTATCAAAGCAGATACTGCTTTCTTCTGCTGCAGATTCTTTCTCCTGTCCTCTGTGACTGGAAATGTGATCTAAATCTGGGGAATGTATAACCACATCACTGACATTACTCGGCTGCTGAGAACTTTTATATGATATGCTTGGGAATATGTTGGAGGAAATACTACATAAATTGGAAAATGAGACTGGAGATGAATAAACAATAGGAGCCAACGTTGGTGGAGTCAAAGTGGAAAGAGCTGAACTATGAAATGAACTTGAGACTGATGTGAAACTGTGAGGTGATACAATGCCTGTGTTAGATTTTGTATATGGCAGTATTGCCAAAGTCACTTCAGGTAATGATGATGGTATAACTGTGAAGTCAGAAGTGACTGATGTTGATACACAGGGAAACTGACCAAGCCGTGTGTAAACAGCAGTGGTCTGTCCCTTATTGAAAGCACTTCTGTAACCTTTAAAAGCTTTTTTCTGAGAAACATATGCACTTGAAAAACTGGGAACAGTAGAAGCTACTGACAATGGTTTGGAAGACCTTAAAGTAACTGGCAAGCTCTGAGGAACTGAAGGTGCAAATCCAAGTTTATGAGGTGACTCATGAGGTGGCGGCAAGTTTTGTACATTAACAGATACTGAACTTATCTGTTTCTGTAACTCTGAGATTGGCAGAATGTTGGAAGAAGATGAACATAATGACAGACATGATGATGAACGCACATTTTTTGGTGAAGATAACAAGCAAAGTGTATTTGATTCAACATCTGTTGAAGTAGACAGATTTGAGAATGCAGAGAGAGAATCTGTCAATGAGACTGACTGGTGGTGTGATGTATCCAATGACCTGGTCTCATAGTGTGGCACTGCAAGTGATAAAATTGCTGCTCTTGATTCACAAGGTGCACAGGATGATGATAGAGAGGGGGTTGATATGGGCTCTGAGAATCCTGGGGTGGAAGAAACACTGGAAGATGAAATTGGTATCACAGATGTACGAAGTTGGGGACTGTATCTATTATATACAGCTGTTGTCTGGTCCTTGTTAAAGGCACTCCTATAAGCTTTCAACCTATTGGAAGCATTTGTTAAAGAGCTATTTTTGCCATTCCCACTAGGGATTATGCAATGAGATGAAATGGTGTTTCTATTCACACTACTATATTTTTCATCTTCATATAAATTAGTGTCAGATGCTTGTGGATTTGGTTTACTGGTTAATGAATCACACTGTTCTAATATCACTGATCCTGATGATGAGGATGGTATTAAATATGGCAATGAGGCAGGGGATGAGTAAACAATGGAGGCTGAATTTGGTGTTTCCAAACTGGAAAAGGTATCAGTTAAAAGTGAGACAGAAGAACATATGGTGTGAGGTGATGTGATGTTTGTCACAGGAAGGGAAGGTAAAAGGACATTTGGATTTCTATATGTTGCTGTTGTGTATCCTCTGTTAAAAGCACTCCTGTATTTTGGAGCTGAGGATACTGATAATGCTAATACACCTCTTTCAGTCTTTTGTGAAGGTGTTGCTGAAGGCTTAGCATTGGGAACAGATAATACTGATGATGAATGGGAAGGAAGTAAAGGGGCATGTAGAGAAACATGTATTCTATCTAGCTCAGTTTTATACTCTGAGCTCTTTAACACATTTCCAGCAATGCCTACCACAGAGTTATCCTGTAATGGTGATAGGGACAAGGGAATGCCCTCTTCATAGAGAAGGAGAGGCAACATGTCTGTGGCAAATTCCAATGAATCCAAAGAGAAAGAGGAATCAGAAGACGAATCAGCTAAAGTAGTTGGTATTTCAGGTTCTTTGGCTAAAGAATGGGGGGGACTATTTCTAAAAGTGGGAATCTTGTCAGGTACAATGTTTGGTATTATATAAGGACTAAGGAGTGGGGAGGGTGCTACAACACATGTAGTTGTTTCAGGAGTTGTCAGAAAGGAAGAGGACACAGAGTTTTGGGTATCTGATAAATAAGATGAGAACACAGTTGCAACATTAGCATCACATGAAGATGATGGTTCTGAACCATTTATATGTGATGAAAGATTTGGAACAACAAATGGCCAATTTCCTTGTGCAGGAATAGTGTGTAATGAGCTCATGAAGGTCAAATCAATCTGTTGTGTATCTGATGAGGTTGAAACAGTCTTTGGTGTATTCAGCGAGGTTTGTGCAATGGATGGTGCATTCAGTGGACTTGAGAAAATTGGTGATGCATTTTCAGAAACAGATAAAGAGACTGATGAAAGCCAAGGAAGAGCTTCTGTGTCTAATGTTGGAATTGGTGAACTTAAGGTAACTGGCTTGAAGTTCAATGGAGTAGAAAGAATTGGTGAGAAGACTGATGAAGTTTTGGGAATTGATCCTAGAACAATTGGTGGTGGCTTTTCTAAAATCAAAGAGACTGGAGGAGAAACCAATAAAGCTGAACTTGATGAAGTTGGAACAATGTGTGTTGAATATTCTGGCACTGGCACTACTGATGAGATTACTGATAACTGAGGAACGGGTGATGAGACTGATGGAGTTGGAACGGTTGAAGTTTTGGGAATGATCTAGAACAATTGGTGGTGGCTTTTCTAAAATCAAAGAGACTGGAGGAGAAACCAATAAAGCTGGACTTGATGAAGTTGGAACAATGTGTGTTGAATATTCTGGCACTGGCACTACTGATGAGATTACTGATAACTGAGGAACGGGTGATGAGACTGATGGAGTTGGAACGGTGTGTGACTTTTTTACTAAAGCTGGAACACCCAAAGACAAAAGAATCGAATCTGAAACAATGGAGTCTCTCCCTGGGGTTGACACGGGAATTACTAATGGTGAGACCGATACACTTTGTGATAGAGAAGTGTTCATCACTGCAACACTTGCTGGAGTGTTTAGTGATGTAGAATCATGTGGTGCCAAGCTGGCTAATGCTGGATCATTGTGTGGTAAGATGAAACTATTTATTGAATCTGATGAGGTTGAGCTGTCAAGTAGAAACGAGGAAATATTTTGGATATTTAACTGCAAAGATATGGAGGTTTGGATGCCCAGTGTTGAATTTAGTGAGCTTGAAATGCCTGGCTCTGACGATATGGAGGTTGGAGGAACTGCCACTGGCATGAATGAGGTTGGAACAATTGAAGGTGTTGATAAAATTGGAATAGATGCATTAACAAAGTCTGCATTAACTGTAGATGAGACTGGAGAAACAATGTGTGCGGAGTCCCCTGAAACTGGAACAGTTCCTGGGTTTGATAGAGATATTGGATGTACCAACGAAGAAATAGCAGCTGGGGCATCTAACACAGCTTTGATAGATTTTTGCATGAATGAAGGGGAATTAGGCAAAGTTGAATCATAATTTGATGATGCAGATAATGGAGTTGAGATTACAAAGGAATTCTGTGAGACTAACACTCTTGATGAAGGAACTGAAGTCAAAACTTCATTTGGTTGTGAAGCTAGCACATTTAGGGATTTGGGTTGTGAAGATAATGAAATTTGCATAGTAGATGGCAAGTTATTAGAGGTAATAATAGGGGGATTCTCAAGTGAGGATAAAATTTCTGTATTTAGTTTACTTGAGGTATCTGAATGACTTAGTAAAGGAGACAGACACTCTGGAGAGACTGATAATGAGTGTGAAGAGGATGAAATTGAGACATTTAGGGTTGAAGAACAGGCATTCTCTGATGATTCATTCTCAGATTCACTCAACAAGGGTGGGATAGCATTGATCAAGGGCTGTGGTGTGGTGACACATGTCAGGATACTCTGCACAGAGGATGCTAATGGTGATGACAACAATAATGGTACTCGACTCTCTGTTGCCTTGAAGACAGGAGCGAGAGAGACATGTGGTGGAGAAGACAAGTTGGCATTCGGAACTGGGATTGGTGCTGAAGGGACTGTTGGGGGTGGAAGTGAGGGAACACAAAGCAAAGGGGATGAGGGCTTCACACATGAAAAAGCAGAGTCCTGAGACTGATCATAAGACACACTATCAGAGGAATGGTTAGCAGACACAGTAAAATGACTGGACACAGGGTTCTCTTCTGGGGACACAGGACTGCTGCAAGCTAGAGGTGGGGTCACATCGCCGAAAACTCCCTGAAAGGTCACAAAGTCTGACGTGGTAGTCGTCATCAGTGACAGAGAACCTGGAGTGGGGCAAAGGGGAGAGGTTGGGGTGGGGGTAGATGAAGAGGAGGGGAGGGGAGAGGTAATGAGAGTAGTGTTCTGGGCTGGACTGGTACTACCTAACGCTCCCTGGGAAAGGACACGAGTAGGAAACAGGACACGATGGGACAGGACACCTACAGTGATGGTCTCTACAGTGCGGGTTCGGGAAGTGATGGCCTGAGAGCTGATCACCTCGGCATTCTCCTCGTCAATAAGCTCTCCTCCCAGCACAGACACCTGGCGGAAATCAAAGCCACACACTTGAGGGCTCGGTCTGTAGAGCGCACATGGCAAACTTGCATGACAATGGGTATAAAAAAAAAGAGGAAAAAATGGTAATGAAACATCATGAGTGAGTAGCTGTGAATGATTGAGAGCGAAACTAGTAGCACTACGAGCCTACTGACACTTGGAGACTAATAATATCTAAACAATGAAAATAATCACAAATTCAGTCACTGATCTCAACTCTTACTGTGGTATGTTGAAGAAGAATGGAGGAGAAGAAGAAGACTTAGATAAGGAGAAGGAGAAGGAGGAGGAGGATGACGAGGAAGGAGGAGGAGGAGGAGGAGGATGAAGAGAAGGAAGTGGAGGAAAAATAGTGAACAATAAAACTGACATTGCTTTTCTATGTGATGAAACTTAGTATTGTACATGGATTAAAATCTATTAATGTTTAGTTTCAAAGTGAAAAAAAGAGAACAATGATTATGATGACAACAATGATAATTCATAACCAAAATTATGATGACTTTAATGAGAACTGAAATAACAACAGTAAACATAATACTACTAATAATAAAGGTAATAATAATAACAAGTGATAGGCACATAATAGTACTAGAAGTAACAGTATCATTAATACTAAAATTAGTAGTAGTGATTGTAAACATTAATATAAAATAAAATTTAAAAATATAAATTGTATATACAATTATGATATCAGTAAAAATAATAATAACAATAACAATAATAATTAATAACAATAATAATAACAATAATAATAATAATGATATTCAATATCAAAAAAAGCAATAACCTCTAATGGTATAGTGGATATACACAGGAAATATCTTTCTAGCTCTGCTCCTTGACATAATGTACTGGTTTGCTATTGACTAGTATAGCAGTATCCTATGTGGAAGCACACTATAGCCAATATGTGGCTTTCACTTATCTATCTTCTGTGTTTTTTATTTATTTATTTATTTTTTTCTCTTTCCTAATTAAGGACCTGTTGAAGTTATGAAGCAAGAAGACCATTGCCATGCCATCACAACAATAATACAACTGCGATGATATTCCTTATAAAAAGAAGGGTAACGACTTAAGGAATCAGGACTACGCTGTACGTTGCCAAAGACTTCCAAGCACAGCAAACTATAGTTAAGTACGTAAACTTTCTACCATTTAACTTTCAAAAACTAAGAAATCAGGAAGAAATCAACTATTTTTACCAATAGTTCCATTTTTTTTCTCAGACAATTTAAATTTCTTCTTTGAGAAATAAGCTGCCAAAGATTTTTTTAGAAATAATAATAATAACAATAATAAAAAAAGAAAAGCAATAACTATATAAACAAATAAAATAACATGTCCTCTTTACTTTTGATAGGAAGTGGTCAGCTGTTGCTCACTTTAACCAACATCTGGAATACTGAGACATCTTTCTTGTTTTCAGGAGAATATTCAAAATAAAAAATAGCATCTATCTCAGCTGTACCAGGCAAAAATTTTGCAATGACAAATGTGAGGCCTATATTATATTCTAATTCACAGAAAGAACATTAATCAAGGTCAGATAGAATTTGCTGTGACATCAAGCCCCATTCAAGAATATGTAACGATGGAGGTGACAAGAGTCGAACTGACTGTTTACAAAAAGTAAAATATCTAAAAAGGAATACATAAAACAGTACTGAATGGTCTGTAGAGACGTATCGTGCTCCAGTTCAACATTTCCACAATTTTCAAATGTTAAACATACTGACTATAAGTAAACTGACCTCAAGACTACACCTGGTAGTCAATCATAAAAAAAAAAAAAAAAAAAAAAAAAAAAAAAAAAAAAAAAAAAAAAAAAAAAAAAATCCCACTATAACTATAATATAATGCTGATGATCAAAATGATAAATGTATCAACCAATATTAATTTTGAATTGCTAATATAAAAAATAACAATAAAAATAATAATAACAATTTCATTAATAATAATAATAATAATAACAATAATAATAAAAACAATAATAATAAAAACAATAATAATGATAACCAGACAAGAGACAAAAAAAGACGAAGGGAAAGAATGATAAAACTAGACAAATATGATATACTGATGCTGCTTTGCATGATAATAACTGTAACACTACCAATCAGTAATATACACAAAACAGCTGTATCATACTCAATAATCTTACATGATAAAAATGTATGCACAAATCTTTCAAAGGATAAAGGAACATGATGTGAGAGTGAATCTTGTCAAAAGAGGATCTTTTTGTGATATCAAATAAGTGAATTAGTAAATGCTCTTGTAAAAGACAATAATAAAAATAAAAATACACTAACCAAATAACGGAAAATAAAAGGAAAGAAATTATATATAAAAAGTAGAGGCTGCAAAACTTTTTTTTTCTTCTTTTTTTAATGAATGAAGCAAACTTTTTTTCTTCTTTTCTTTTTTAAGGAGATGCTCATGCAATTTTTAATCCATGCATACAAAACCAAAATAAAGGTAAATAATAATAATAATAATAATAATAAAAAAAAGAAAAAAAAAACTAATAAAATACCACAAGACACTGATATCCTTTTGGGTGCAATTCCCAGTCTTCAAAAATAGATGTCTTTTTAAAGGATGCAAAGACACTTCTCATAATGCAGCCTCAAACAACATTACACAACAAACTTTACCAAGCAGGAGAGAGAGAGAGAGAGTAAGAGAAAGATAAATGGTTCCTTGCATACTCAAGACTCTCAGTGCATCAAACTAGTGCAAATAAAAATGAAATGTAACAAAAAACGGAAAAAAATGTATATCCGAGAGCCAAACGGGCCGGAAGTACTGTTCTCCCTCCACCAACCAACCTTGCGCAACTCCGTCTCTACCACAGGGGGGGTTTCCACGCTCATGGTGGAGGTGTCGACGCCACTAGCGTCAAACATCTGGGCCTCGGTCGGTACAATGCCATCCTGCGGAGAGAATTTTTTTTTTTTCCTAATTCGTTTCGAGGGGGAACCGAGGGGCCTCTGTACTCACCTGTTTTAACCTAGCGTAGGTCATTTTTCAAGTTCTCGTAATGGAAAATCTTGGCTGAACTCACTTTTCTCGTTACTTTTTTCTTTTCTTTTTTCTGGTTTTTGTTTGTTTTTGTGATTGAAAATTTGGGGAAGAAAGTGATCCTCTCAGGAATGTGAGTTTGAGAATTCTGATTTCCAATTATTCTTTCATTTGGATTTATATCATTCTGAACTTTACATCCTTTGTTCAACTTGCTTCTCATGTCAACTACCTGTGCTTCATCAGTGATCCTTCAAATAAAAGGAAGAAGGAAAGAGAGAGAGAGAAAAAGAGAGAGAGAAAAAATGGTATTTAATTGTTCCAATTAATTTCTAAAGATCAGGTCAAAGGTATAAGGCAAGAAATTGATTTTACAGGGCTCTAGCTCCAAAAAAATATATATCATTTGAATATTATATCTAAGAGTCTTTCTGATCACAAGCAAGTGAAAATACTTTTTTTTTTGTGGGACAGTCTGATTCATCAAACCAGATGAAAAAAAAAACCCTAAAATATGAAGGCTTCCTAATATCACTGTTAATAAGATCAATATAGGATCCATAAAGGAGGGGGGAAAAAAAACAAAGAACATTAATGAAAAGACTATTTTCAAATTTTCTTTTCTGTCTTTCCATTTGTCAAAATCCTGGAGATCTCCCGACACAACATAACCAAAATTTAAACAAATCTTAAAAAAAAAAAAAAAAAAAAAAAATGACCAAAACAAAACAAAAACAAAGAAATCATCATAAAACCAAAAACTAACCTTGTTGACAAAATCATAATCAGAGTCCAAGGGATCGACTGAGGTGCCTGAATCGTCACTTCCGCTGGAGAGGGTTCGGGCGCGTGCATTGCCGCTAAAGTCTCCCGGGGGGTAGTAGGGGGTAGCAGCTTGGCCGCCCTGACCCTTCACGCCACGAGGAAGAATTCAGCAAGTCGGGGGGTTAATGCAAGGGTTATCACATGCAGAGCGGCAGGAATGAGGCAGTTCAGCTCTTCGCTTTCTTTCTTTTCTTTCATTTTCTTTTCTTTTCCTTTATCATTGCCATTTTTTTTTCTAATTTATAAACCACTGAAGCTTAAGAAGCCTAGTATCATAGGTGGGAGGGAACAGGGGATGGGGGGGGGGGCCACTCTACTCCTATAACTACAGATGCTATCAGTAAGGATAATCTTCTTAATAGTAAATTGTAGGGGGTTAAAAGGGGAATATAAATTCATATATACAAAAATAACAAAAAAACAATCATGCATTTTGAATTAGATACAACTTATACTGAGGGTAAACTGATAATACTGAAAACATGAAAATAATTTTGAAAGGACAAGCATTAATCTAACTTCAAAACATACATGAAGAATAAAGTAAATATGGCAAAAATCTATCTAAAATGGCAAGAGCTTTGCAAATAATGTTCTGGAGAGATAAGTTAAGCCAAATAGAAACATAAATAGCTCATTTCAATCATTGGGCATTCAACAAAAGCTTTTTTTTATCACAGTTGTTACAAGGTTACCATATCAGCATCTCATTTACTTGTTGACAGACAGTAATGCATTTTGTTGTAATACTCTTAACTTCTCTTTTCTCATGCTACTTCTGGCAATACATCAATCAATCCATCATTTTTCAAGCTCATCTACATGCAATTAAGATATTTTTAAAAAAGGGGAAAAAAAAAAATAAGAGAGAAAAGAAAATACCTATCACATAAAACACAAACACACACACACTAACAAAAAAAATATATAAAAAGAAACAAAAAAAATAGAGAGAATTTAAGGAAAGATGTGCATCTTCCGATCGACACACGCACAAAAAAAATCTGGAGCCACCGCACAGTCTACACCTGGCCTAATCCTGCTTTACTCATCCTCCCTTCCTCGCCCATTCTACCCTGAGCCTCACCTGCTTGTCAATGGCCACCGCATCCTGAGGGACGATGGAGCGCGACTGCTTCTTCACCTCCTGCGTCACCACCGTCTGCTCCTGTGTTGTGCCAGTTGTCATGGTGGTGGATGCGAAAGTCTTCTCCTGGACCTGGTAAGGAGTGGGGAAGGAAAAGGCATTACTAGGCATTATTCTTCTGGGATTTTTACTACTTGTCTGTGTTGTATAGACAGAGGAAGAGAGGAAGAGAAATGAGAAGAGAAAAGAGAGGTGTGTGTGTGTGTGTGTGTGTGTGTGTGTGTGTGTGTGTTTGTGTGTGTGTGTGTGAGAGAGTGAGAGAGTGAAAGAGTGAAAGAGTGAGAGAATGAGAGAATGAGAGAGTGAGAGAGTGAGTGTGTGAGTGAGTGAGTGAGTGAGTGAGTAAGTGAGTGAGTGAGTGAGTGTGTGTATGAGTATGTGTGTGCTTTTGCATGCATGTTGCATTGTGCTGTGTTCTGTTACTTGAGAAAATGGGAGTGAGTAATGGGGGAGTAAATGTGCGAATTAAGAATATAAGTATGGTTGAGAGTGTACCTGAATGTGTAACTGCGAGTGTAAATGTGACCGAGTGCAGAAGCACACAAGTGCAAAGAGGACCGAAACCTCCAAATCCCTTCCAAAACCAATCCTTCGCAACTCCATCCCCTCACCCTGGCCTCCCTCCCTCCCTCCCTCCTGCCCTCCCTCCGTCCCGACCATTCCTCCTCCTTCCCCTACTCGAGGACATACCTGCTGCGTCCGTTCCTTGGTGCTCTTGTCCTCCATGCTCTGGGCCGTGATGGTGGTAACAGTTGTAGCTACAACATGAGGCTTCTCTCCCTCACCCTCAGCATGCTCAGCCTGCAGCAAACCCACCAAGTCAAAAAGGCTATGTACATGCATCATTCAGCCAAACAAATGGGTTTGGGTTTAATCTTTTTTTCTTCAGCGCTAAGATGCAGTGCTGAGGATAAATAGCTTACATAATAAACAGTATTGAAACTGAGGCATTGAAGCGAGTGACTACACCTCTCTGAAGGTGTGTTTATTCTCTTTTAATATACATCTCTCGAGCTGATTTATTAGAGGCAACTTAAAATTAAGGTAAACAAATAGAGACAATCATATTTATGTCAAGATTCAATATCAAATATAACTGATTTAGGAAATACTCAAAAATATTCATAAAAAGCCACATGCTTTTGGACTTGCTCTAAATCAGGGAACATGCTCACTAGCAAGGGATTCAGCACTAAAAGGATGCATGGCAACAATCAAATTTCTAAAACAAAAAACAAAAAAATAAAATAAAAAGAAAGAAAGAAAAATTGACATTCATTACAATCCCATGATGTGATACAAATCAAGTTCCGCCTCTTGTGAGATGGGGAGAGATAGAGCGAGAGATAGACTAAAAAAAAGTGCAAGTGGATTCCCACCTTTTGGCTCTGGGTGTTCAACTCAACCTCTCCTGTCCCCAGGTCTTCCACTCTCTGGACAATATCCTCTGAGACCCCCTCTGCATCCTGCACAAAGGTCTTCTTTGTAGTGGTCTTGACAATTTTGGGTGCAGTGGAGGAGGCCGAGGTCAGCTCTCCTCCTGCGCTCTCCAGGGTGGCCTGTGCAGAGGGATCCACCACCAGCTCCGAGGCCGAGTGGTCGGCCGTGAAGGAGGGCTCGCTCGTTGCTGCAGGGTTCACGATGAGGGAAGTGTTCGAGTGGTCCGCTGCGTACGATCGGTCCGAGGCCACCATGGATGAATCAATGTCCTTGGGCTCTGTGCCCTCCCGATTCTCCACTACCACACTCTCATCTGAGCTGTCATCTGAACTGTCACTTGAGCTGTCACTGCTACTGCTGCTGCTGCTGGTTGAAGCCTTGCGGTCCCTCCCTCCAAAGATTCCAAATCGTCCCTTCTTCTTCCCCTTCTCCTTCTTGTCCTTCTCCTGTTTGGCTGCTGCCTTCTTGTCCTTGTCCTTATCCTTGTCTTTGCCTTTGTCTTTAGATTTATCTTTGTCTTTACCTTTATCTTTATCCTGCTTATCTTTTCCCTTTTTGTCTTTCTTGTTCTTGTCCTTCTCCTTCTTGCCCTTCTTGCCAGCAAGGAACCCAGCCATGATGCCCGTGGAATCAGCTGAAGTGTTCAGCATGCTCTCGTCAACTGAAGTCTCTGGCAATGTTGTGTCTGGGGAGGATAAACCCCTATCCTCTTCCATGGCACCAGAACCTGGACTCTGATCCAACTGGCTTGTCTTGCGTTTCTCAGCCGTCTCAGCCACCTTAGAGTCCTCTCCTGGCGCATAGTTGAAGGCCTGGGCCTGCCCTCGTCGCTTCTCCACCACCATGGGGTCATTGACTTCATCCTGGCCCTCTCCTGACCTGCCCTCATACTTGAAGCCATGGCCGGTGGGGCTGTAGGGCCTCCTGGGTTCCGTCTCTAGCTCCTCATACGAGTACTGCCGGGTAAAGGGGGGTGAGCCAGGAGAGCCAGCAGCCTCAGTTGCACTCGGGTTCTGGAAGACTGTGCGGTGGGTCTTGACGAGGGGGTCTGCCGAACTAGAGTCCCCTGGTGTCTGCCCTCCTTCTCCATCCTCTTCCTTTTCACGACCCGATTTCCGGCCTTCCATGGTCTTGTAGCCAGGTGGGGGGGTGGTCGAGGGGGGAGCACCGCTCTACGCGGGACGGAACAAAGACATGCAAACACTTGGGTGTTGAGGGGATTAAACACAAACACAAATACTAACATTCAAACAAACAAAAAAATAATTCTAGCATTTACGTTCATCATAACAGCAAATGGCTTAGATAAAAATCTAAAAAAAATTAATGAACAATTATGTAAACTAAAACAATATTAAACTAGCACAAAACTTCATGTTTAGGAAGCATGCTGCAGACATCAAATATACTAAAACATAATAATGATAATAAAATATCTCTTTAAAAGATGGGCAAGTCAATAGCCCAGTCAGCTGTTTTTATGCCAAAATCACATGTCACAGTAGATGACTATTTGGCTACTAATACTTTGGTTGTCAGGTTGCTATTCCATGCTTTTGAACGCATGCTTTCTTTATCTTTAACTAAATCTAACCAAACCAATGGTATAGGGTCAAAAATAACTCCTAACATGCCAATTAGCTTCAAAATAAAAAAACAAAAAACAAAAAAAAAACAATAATCTAGAAATTTAAGATCCTATTTACAAACTACAGTGGACAATATGCTTGTGGCACACAAAAGATTAAAATACTTAGCCTTGACTGTCCTCTAGGTGGTAACTAGGTTTATCTATTTGATCGCTTTTCTTTTCTTTTCTTTTTAAATCCATTTACTTCTTCTCGAAATTCCATTTAATCTTTCACATTGTCAACTCCTTGCGATACCTAATCAGGTTATTCCTATAAGATGTTACAGTATGCATAAAAAAAAAAACATTAAAAACTAAGAAATCTATAAATAGAAAAAAATAAATAAAAACAATCAAATAAAATATAAATATAGAAATATATATATATATATATATATATATATATATATATATATATATATATATATATATATATATATATATATATATATATATATATATACATATATATACATATATACATATATACATATATACATATATACATATATATACATATATATACATATATATATATATATACATATATATACATATATATACATATATATATATATATACATATATATATATATATATACATATATATACATATATATACATATATATACATATATATACATATATATACATATATATACATATATATACATATATATACATATATATACATATATATACATATATATACATATATTATACATATATAATACAATATATACATATATATACATATATATACATATATATACCATATATATACATATATATACATATATATACATTTATGATATATATACATATATAAATATAATTGTATATATATATATATATATAAATATATGTATATATACATATAAATATATGTATATATACATATAATATGTACATATACATATACATATATATGCATATATACATACATATATGTATATTTACATTATTTATTTATATATATATATATATATATATATATATATATATATATATATATATATATATTATATATATATATATATTACATATTTATATATATATTACATATCTATATATATATTACATATCTATATATATATTACATATTTATATATATATTACATATTTATATATATATTACATATTTATATATATATTACATATTTATATATATATTACATATTTATATATATATTACATATTTATATATATATTACATATTTATATATATATTACATATTTATATATATATTACATATTTATATATATATATTACATATTTATATATGTACATATTTATATATATATATAAATATAAATTAAATAATTTACTGCCAGAGGCCTAAAAATTAATCAGCCAATAAAAAAATCAAACACATACTTCAAAGAAATGAAAGTAGCTACTCTTGCATAACATCGCTAGAGGAGACTTGACAATGGTGACTGCGTCTTGACACAGCACTCAGCTAGCTCCGGGATTCTCATGCCCTAAACACACTACCGTTCCACAAGTTGCCTTTTGCTCTCACCCAATGCTGTCCGAACTTACTTTCTTCGCTGCCTCCTCCTCAGCCTGCGCCAGCTTCTCGGCACGCTTCTTGGTGGCCTTCATCAAGTCTGCCATTGGCAGCACTGCCACACCTCCCACGGGTTTCTGTTGATCAGTAGGATGCATTAGGGAGAAAGACAGAAGAATGGAAAACAAGAGAAAAAAAAGTTTCTTGAAATTCTTTATTTTCTTTCATTTGCAAGGGATTCAAACAAATACTACTTTTCTTTTAGTTTTCTGTTAAATAAATCTGTTTATCTAAAAAATGCTTAGTTGCAAATGGTAAAATAGAAGCTTAAAAAACTCATTTTAAGGTATACATAATTCTATTAGAGCAAGATTATATCAAATCAAAATACTTTTTTATTTTCTAAAGGACTCTGAATATCAGATTGCTCATAATTACTCTATCCAAATATATTCAAGCAATATGTTTAAGCTGCAATAAAAAGTCTTTCTTCCAGACAAGTGATCCCACCTCCCCCTCCCCCCCATGTGATTTATGCTTAGTGAATCTCCATTACTGCCCCTTGATTTACAGCTCAAAATTCCACACATAAAATGTAGCTACTGATCCAAAATGTTGCTCTGAATTCCTGCCCGGCAACAAAAAAAAAATACTAGGGCTCACACCATGCTTCAATTACTACAGACTATAAGCTCTTTCTCTGGTGACCTCTCTTTAGGTCACATTATACTCTTGCTCACACCCGCACTTGATAATTACTTGCTTCATAATTTGAATTTATCTTATATATATTGTGTCTAAAAATATATGAGACTATCATCATTACTTATTCCATTCACTACTACTACTACTACTACCAGCATCATTAATAATAATAATCAAAATAACAATACTACTACTAATAATAACAATAACAATAATAATAATAATAATAATAATAATGATAATGACAGTAATACTAATAATTACAATAACCATGATATTAAACAAATGATTAATAGAATAGATCATTAGAATTACAATAACAATGATGATAACAATCTTCATGACCAACAACTTGCAGTCTCTCACATCCCACTTACAAAAATAACAACTTTATCTAAAATAATCTAAATTAATTTTTTTTTCAACACATAATCAGCAGGTCAAGATGGATTTTAATCCTACCTAAACAAAGGAAGAGCTTAAAGATTTAGGAAGATGTTGACTTGTATCTAAATGAAATTGTGTATGTATATGTGTGTGTGTGTATATATATATATATATATATATATATATATATATATATATATATATATATATATATATATATATATATATATATATATATATATATATGTATATACACATACATAAATACATACATACACACACATACACACAAAATCAAATAATTATGAAGTCATATCTCTAACTAATAAATTTAGCTTGTTTTTCTCAGGTAATAAAAAATAATTAATTTCAGAACTAATGGGGTATTAGATTTTTTATATTGGCTACCGCAGAAAGCTTATATTTGATAAAAAAAAAGGAATAATAATAAAGAAATAGTAGGGGAAATTAATATTTTGAATGATGTCATGCTAATGTAATGACATGGTTATACTCCATGATCAATAGGGGAATTCTTCCAAAATATTTCCCTTTGTCTCAAAAGATATCAAATGACCATACACAGGTGGAAACTAATAAAAAAAATTATGACAATGTGCCTTCTAGTGATGTCCTACATGACATCATGACATCATGACAGTCATTATTCAAATTTCTCGTGCAAAGCCGGTGCTGTAAATACACTTTCATCCCAAATGTAGTAAACCTTTATTCCTAATTGTGTTTATTTCATCTGAATTCTCTTGGTCAAGTCCACTCTGAAGTCAGATGTTTACAATATACATATATATTTTATTTCAAGTTATCAAATCCAAAGAACAATAACATTTAAAAAATTACATAATGTTCTTTACCATAAATTCATGCTGCATATATATGTCATGAATAATTAAGTATTATGAAAACTGATCAAACTATAATAATGTAACAAATAAGCATTTATAAAATATTAACCTAACAATGATGATAATAGCATATTACGGCTTATCATTATACAATAGTGAAACATGTATCTATGTGCTATATATATATATACATATATATGCATATATATACATATATATGCATATATATATACATATATATGCATATATATATATACATATGCATATATCGCTCATTTATTTCAACAGTGACATAACTCAAAAATTGAAGATTTTGAGTTAGTTATATCACTGAATTTGTCATTTTCTATATTTATTTGTGGTAAGAACGCCATAACTCTAGTATCAAAATTGTCCATTATATGTCGCTCAAGGCATAGTGACTCATTTTCTTTCAGACGAATCTTTTAGTTGGCATAGCGTTTTATTTCAGTTAAGTGTATTTTATTATATTTGATGTCATGCACTACATTGAATCCTGAAATAAAACTTCATTGCTAAATACCTCTTTTAAAACTTACATGGAAGACTGTATTACATATTAAAAGTTTATTTCATATATACATATATATACATATACATACATATATATACATATATATACATATATATACATAAACATATATATACATATATATACATATATATACATATATATACATATATATACATATACATATATATACATATACATATATATACATATATATACATATACATATATATACATATATATACATATATATACATATATATATATATATATATATATATATATATATATATACACACACATAGGTTTATATAAGTATATTATGTATATATATGTTCGTATAATATATATTATACATATATATACATTGTATAA